AGAAGATGGTATAGAAAATTTTCTAACCACGAACTGAAAAAATCTTCTAACTTCGACAATAACGTATCCCAGCATCTAACATACTGTTCATGCCAACTTAGTCACGACTTTTATTCTTCCTTAAAAGTTTCTGTCTACATCTCATTGGTTCTGAAACTAGGTTGCTCTTGGTATGTTAAAAGAAACCTCACCATTCTTATTCATGACATAACATTTCTTGGGGCAGGAGTCGACATAAATGACTAAACGTTTCAAATCCTCGACTGCTTTTCGGTTATAGTCTTCGAAATGACAACATATTCATCTGAACGCTTGGAAGCTCTAAAATCTGAAACGTCCTATGCTTGTCATTTTATAAAAAATAAGAAAAATTTTTTTTATTCTTGACTTTGTTGTTGCATTTTGGTTCCATTTGTTCATTGTTTTTTTGCATTTGTTGTTCCTTGAACTATTGTTGTTGAAGTTTGTTCTTGTAGTACATATAATTTCACACCAGTTTGCATCTTCCAATTCGAAACGTTTCTGGCCGTCATTGACAAATACATAGGAATAAAAGTTTTACAGGAACAATAGTTTGGCGTCAACCATAAGGTTAAGTTTAAGTTTTGCTAACGTGGTTTGAGTTTACTAAGGTTTGAAAAATTCCCCTGCATTCGATGGAACAATAGGCAAACCAGCAGGAGAAAGTGTTTGTTTATACGCATGAGTATCTTTTGGTCATAGTAGTTTTCTGTCGACATTCCGATAGCACGTTTGGAACTAAAGTTTTGAAACAATATATAGAATAGGTGTACTTAAAGTCAAATGGAAACAGACATTCCTTGTAATGAACACCTTTTTCTGTTTATATGGCAAACTGTTGGTAGTAAAAACAGATATAAGTTTTGTATTATAGCTCTAATATCGTTTAATACTAAACTCAGTCGGACTCCAAACATAATGAAAACCTGCTCTAGTTGCAGCACTGTTAAAAAAAAACAAAATCCGTCCTTAAAGTAATTAAAGTAAGTCAACAAAACCTGTTGGTGGTATAATCTGAGTAAGTAAATCTTCAAAGAAGTAATTTTTACATTCCAACAACAAAGTCCTTCTGGTGTAAAGAGCAAAACAGGCTTTATCCGTCATCGTGTTTTAAGAGTCAGTTTAAAATTCGTCCTTGAGGAATTTTGTAAGTTTGGTTGTTATAGAAATTATATGACTCAGGGTTTTTAAGTCATGTAATAGTATACAACCACTATGTCTTCTGCATTTTACTAGCAAGTAATTTTAATCGAAAATGTTGTGGTCGAACTCAAATATTTTTATGACGTCTGGGAACTATAATTTTAATTCAACGTTCCACCTCCTTTCATAACGTATATCTTGTCAATGAATTATATGAAACCACAGCAACTAATGTGGGTTCTATTTCTTTGATGTTTAATAATCGGTCTGCCTCTGTCAAAAGTTTCAATAGTTCCTTTCAAGACTTCATGAGGTGGGCAATTGAGATAATGAAGTTTCACTTTTACAGGGTTGGTGTTTCGACCAAAGTTTAACATTATACCCCAAAGCTTGACCAAAATCTTCTCCTGAGTTTTAAAGTTTTGTCTTTTAAGTTTGTTGTAGTCGTTTCCGAATATCTGCAAACAGAAGACTTAAGTTCTCTGCTAACTTCAGGGTATGTTTGGTTGTTTCCTTTTACAGGAAACTTGTTATAACCATCTTGGTCTTTCGTATGGTTTCCCCACTTCAACATCTTTTCTTTGACATTGACAACAACACTTTGGACTGTTTGTTTGAAGTTGGTGAATTTACTTCACATCTGCCCACCGCCATTAAACCTTTTGGAAACACTTACGCTTCTATTTTTCGGAAATGACATTTTTACTTTAGAATAAAAAAGATGGGACGTATTCGAGTATCTCTTCGAATTGAAGCAAAGAACAAAGTTTTACCACAACAAAACATATACAAGTTCATTGCATAGAATAGTTCTTTTATACAAACAATTGGTAAATGTTTTATAGAATCAGTCAATATTTGCTGAACCAAAATATTTCATAAAGCAAAGAAAGTTTGGTATAACTGGAAATGTGAAAGGTTCTTGACGTTGACAAAATATAACAACACAAAACTTACAGATATTTCTAAGGTAAGTTTATCTTACCAATTTTATGTCAAAACTGGCGTAGCGTCAAATATTTGACGGAAGAGAGACGATCAGTTCAAGAACTAACTTACTGACGTGCTGGCCAAAATCTCTCGATGGAAAGCTGTCGTTATGCCCAATCTGAGGAGGCCCCACAGGTTTCATCGAACGATTTTCAAAAGAGCATCTTCCGTGAAAAGTGCTATTGGTTTTTGTAAACTTTTTGGCTTTAATTCATTTGGACCGTCCTCTGTCACCAGTAATTTGTATTTGAACTGTACAACAGTTTGAAATACCACCCAATAAAGTCTTCTGAGTCAGCAAATCGGAAAATGCCAAGCCAAAAAGGTTTGTGAAACGGTCCCATTTGTATTTGAAGTTTTTTTGACCTCCTGTATGAGTCCTCTTTCACATATGGCATAATAGAACTTTGGCATTTCAGGGTTTAGGTTTGTTTGTGAAGTTGTTGTATAAAGTTCAAATAGCATCTCAATGCTCAAGGTTGTATGACCTCAATCTTCAACCCTGTAGAATATTCTTTCCTCGTGGATAATATTTGCCATCTATGTTTATATGGTAATTACTACCAGGGTTTGTAGGAAGCAAGAAGTCCATTTTATAGTTTCGTCTGAACATGTACCAAACATAGTATCTTGCATGTTTCATTGCAGTTGTTAAAAGCAATATCTGTTCTTGCACCTGGGTCAGCATCTTGTGTTTTCCAACTTCAACCTGCAAAAGTCTTTGAAGATATTCTGGTGTATAAGGAACATAAGTGGAACTGCAATATATTTGGCAGCTAAGCCTTTGAAATATATTCTGGGTCCAACCATATAAAGGCCAGTCGACATTCATAATTCTCGTTGCACAAATGGTTCAAAACCTGTCGCAATGACTTAACTGGGTCCAAGCAGTTCCAGCAGCATTGAAATAATAGTTTACTTCAGTGTTGAAGTTTGAGAAACCAAAGGTTCTAAGTCAACTTTGTAATTTGCAAAGTCGGCGAATGACGTTTGATTTGCTCGCCTTTACGTCTGTAAAAGTGAATGGGTCTTGTGTTTGGTGAAATGACTAAGTTATTTTTGCTTGGAGTAGTTCGATAGAAAATTTTCCTGCCCAGTTTGGAAGTAATCTTAAAAACCTGAAAGATGAGAAAAGATCAAGAAACTCTAAGTTTCAGTTTTATCTTTGGGTTACTGCTGCTATGCATTTTGTCCAGAAAGGTCAACATAAACTCCTGAAGCGTTAGGGTCAAAGTCTTCTTATTTTCCAATAAGTTGCAATACTGGTCTGTTTTGTTCATCCTTAAGCTTGCTGGTTGTAACTAGGTTTGTCTCCTAAAGAGCGAACCATTCATAGTTTGCCCATGTACTGTTTTGAACTAAGTCACAGGTTATGAATATTATATCTTATAATCCCAGAAAATTCTGGAGCATATTGGTTCGACATAGAAAAAATTCCATTGCATCCTTTCTTGTCAGACAACTTGGTCAGAAGGTTTGTTAGATTTTCAATGTCTTGTTCCACTAATAAGAGAAGTTGTCAATAGAAAATAATATGAAACCCTGTCGCAAACCAATATCTACTGATTGTATCGAAGAACCTTCTCTTCCAAACTCACCTTACGTTTCCTAAAAGAAACAGCAGTTGTATAATCGTAAGTTTCCAGCGAACTATTGTGCTGACCTTCTAAATGGCATTGTCGCATTCGTATTATAACCATTTCGGAAACATTTCATTCCCATGCATCCAAACACTGTTTGGCGTTATAATTCATGAGCGGCCGTAACATTCATATGAGTAAATATATGAGAATATTGATTTACTATGTCATAATAGAACCCAACGTGGGACCACACGCTTTATTTCTTCCCTGACTGAGTTTCTATGAACCTCTTCTTTTTCCCTTCATTGCCCTCCATGCTTGAAGTTATTGCATCTTTGCTTATGTTACATGCTAGTAATGTTCTGCAAATTTCCATGTCCTTTTTTCCTTTTCGTGGCTCTGGTCGGCCAATCTCAGTAACCTCTATCCTAAGAAAAGTTTGTCCATATGTCTTGTATGTTGAGGTCTTCGCGTATTGTTATGCATGACTCTGTCCTAGAGTTTTTTCGGTTCAAGCTCTTCAAACAGTAGGCCTGTCCACATGGAAATATGCTCGTACCAAAATATATGTTTTGTAGCCATTCTGGTTTTCTTTCCATGTTACCGAATATATCTTTTTGTCGAATGGGAAAGTTTCTAACCAACTGTTAATCAGTCTTGCGGTATTTATATATCTGTAGTTGGTTGTATTTTGTTCAGAACAATGTTTTTTCAAATACTACATTTCATTGGTACTGTCCATCTTGAAGTTATTCTTAAATATTCCATCCCTATCTCATTCTTGGTCTGCAAAGTAAAGTTTTTATGACATTTATTGTAAAACTTTCGTTCAAGGTCATTGTCACAATAGGTTCTCTTCCTTCTATCTTCCCTAACTTTCTTTCTAAAATCTCTTCACAAAATATACCATCTTCTATGGTTCTGTGTAGTTCTTTGAGATAAATGTTCTAGAACGTACAGGTG